CAATTACACATATTGTTGCCGTCTCTTTGTGACCGTCTTATATATACAAAATTACACTATATCTAGAAGGATCCCGAGATTTGAGGAAGGGACGTGAATATTTGAGAAGGATGTGGCGTGATACTAGTCACGTGACCTCCGCTGACGCAACTGTATAAATAGTGCCAAGTCCCATTCATGTGACGATGATGAATGAATTAATTTTTTTTCAAGAAATGTTTGCTGCAGTCATGGTTTGTTTGCTACACGAGGGCTATCTGCCCTTATTTAGATCTTAGGCTACTCTTTTTACCAACGAATATTGGAATTGACTGCACTTTATAACGCCTCCACGGCTGAAAGGTGGGACGGGGATTCGAACCCGCGACTTGAAGATTGCGAGTCGAGCATCCTAACCAACTGGCCATGCCGGACCAAACATGCTAATTCACCGAGAAACTGAATAGATGCGATAACTTTAACTTTTAACACTGAAATTGAACTGACTTAGTTATCACTGATTACTCATAATGTATATCATGCCTTTATTTTGACATATTACAGGAAGCGTTTCGACTCTCATAGCTTACAGACTTCCAGATATAACGTTATAATCCTTTAGCAAGTATCTAAACTAAAACATTGAAAACATAGCAACCCTAAATTTAGGAGATACAAATGCTTGTCCTAACCACCTTTATCCCAGGATTTGTTAGTTTTATGTACCATAAGTCTCAAGACTTGTAGGGTTTCAGATACTTCTTACGTAGGAGTTAATACTTTAAACCCTTCATACCTACACGGTTATTCTGTGAGGATATCAGTAAATTTCTTAGTTTTAGATAATACTGTGTATGAATTTATTATATACGTTTAGGGCTACTTCGGTAGTTAAGCAGTGGTGAAACATTTTCAACTAAAAGTGATGAATTACTCCCTCCTCCTTTTCTATAGATTTCTACGGTTTTTGCATCCAAGTTTCACCAATAAAAACATTCTTATCCGAGAAATTTGTAACGAGCGTGACGCTCTCTTTGTTAATGAGTAAATGACAAGGGAGTAATTCTCAAAAAATGTTGTTAACTAATTCGTGACTGCTTCAAAAAACCTACAATATTAAGAAATATTAATATGTTTAGGCGTGAATTGACAAACAGATGTAAAACATAACTTGATTGTTTTAAGATATACCTGTCTCAGGTGAGGTTCTAAGGTGACGTCGTTGAAGTAAATAGCAGATATGGCAATCATGCAAATAACCATATCTAAAGCAAACCCGAAATGTAGAGACATGCTTAGGATTTCTTTCATCGAGCACCCACTTTCGGTATCTGCAGTTAAAAAAGATAATGAAGTTTAAAAACAGGAACCTAAACAAATAAACAATGTGAGTATTTTACAAAAAGAAAAAAAAAACGCACAGAGAAACCATTGAAAAATGATAACATGCCTCGAGAAGATAACACCTTGTACAGAAATCGTTAAAAAATAAGATAACACTTCGTAGAGAAACAAAAAAGAGACGGTATAACGCCTTGCGAGGAGATTATTAAAATATGAAATTAACGTTTCACAGAGAAATCATTAAAATATGAAATAAATGTGGCAGAGGAACCTGAAATGGACGAGATAACACCTAACGGAGAAACCAGATGAAAGAGCGCATGGTAAAGAAACACTTAAAAGTTTATATACGACTAAGATATCCGTAAGTTACGTCGTGTCGTTCACTTATTCTTGAAGAAGAGTGAACAAATTTTAAAATAAGCAGTCTTACCTGAATCTGGAAGAAAGAAGTAAACTAACACGGATCCTATCAATAACGCCGTTCCCAAGAAGATGAAAGGTGCTTTGAATCCTCCGAACTAAATAAAAAGAAGAGAACGCGAAAATGAATGTTTTGAATAACATTTGAAATAATTATTTAACAGTTAATGGTTGATTATAATAATAATAAAAAGTTTTCATTAAATAAGAAGAAACTATAATGCTAAAACTCTGCTTAGAAAATTTTGTAATGTCCACTAATCTATGATGCTGAACGCTCACTACTGCCACAGCTTCAACACTTAGTATATAGTATATTTGACGTGTTGCGTCATCGAGATCATGTGATTCTCACGCTCTCTCCTTTCTTGAATTATCCTGTACTTTGGCGAATGTTCTAGTTCTTACTAGATATAGGGTAGGCGGATATATATAAGAGGGGAAGGTAATGTAATGTGTGAGTAGATAGTGAATAACTGAACTGCAGTCGGAAGTATTGTTGACGTTCGTTGATTAGCGTTTGTTTTAACGCGATTGTTGAAGTTGAGTGTATCGGTAAAGTTATATTCGGAAAGAATAAATCAGTTTTATTAAGAAAGGACTTGTGTCGCTTAAGTTTCGTCGGAACGAAGTTACGGAAAGTTAATTAACAAACGGAGACGTAACAGACGTTTCTTGGACTGGTAAGTTATGTGGATATAAGTAGCAAATATTTTATATGTCTACTGTCTATAACGTTTAAAAATATTTCAATGATTTTTTTTTATTATAATTATACTCCTAAAGATTATTTTGCAGCATTGGTTGAGTGTATAGATTTTGAAACAAATATCGTGAGACGGTAAATATGACTAACTTGCAACGACGACTATTTTTAATACACCTGATGTTTACAGGAATTATTTTTTGTTTATTCAGAATTTCTAGTTACCTATTAAACTATATTGTCGTCTTTAACGCTTACTTTAATTTACGTAAATTGTTTTAATTCTCATATCAGAACTTGATCTACTTTTGGTGTGCGCGTTTTAATGTAAATTTCTAGAATTATAATATCTAACAACAGATTCATTCGACGGGAATTAAAGCTTAATTATGAATAATAGAACGACTGCAACAACAACAAACAATTAATCCTTGAACGTTTCGAAATATAGATATTACATCTTCAGCAAGCGATATTAAACAAGGTAAAATATTATACCGAATGATTTTTAAATTTAAGTTCCAACATTTTTTAAAGAATTGATGTAAAGAGTAAAAACGATGAAATTAATTAAAAAAGAAATGGGGTAGTTATTCAAAACAAATTTATCTCTAGCGAAGTTGTGTTTCTAATGGTGGTAGTTAAGATCAAACTGTGCTCGAACCGGTGTTAAAAATTAACCTGATCATACATACGCCAAGTAAGTTTAGAATTTTGTACCACCACTAAGAAACGGTATTCCTCCTGAATCTTACTAAAGTTCACATATTTAAAGTTTTAGATAATTATATTAGAATTAAATTGTGTCTTTTTTATTATTGTGATTCTAGAAATAAACCTACCTGACACTGAAAGATTCGTTCATCTGTAAACGTCGCAGAGAAAATGTTAATAAAAATAAGGTGGAAATATTGTATATTGTGTGTATATAGACTATTCGTTATATTAGATTTTCAGTCGAAGTGTGACTTATTAAGTTTAAATAAATGTTAGGCTTTGGCTTGATGAGAATTAAAGAAACACTCACCTCGTACAGAACACCTCCAACAGTGGGCGAGAGCATTGAACCAACACCATAAGCCATTTCCAGTAGAGACTGGAAGCAAAAATACAAATAGTTGACCATTTAAACTTTGTAAATACTACTTAATGACTAGATTAAGAACAGAGGAGTTTTAGGTGATTAAAATAATACTATGTTGCACTGATAAACAATTTAATTAAAATCCATTATGGGTAATATTACCTCTATAAACACCTTTGTTGATAACTCTCTCTCTCTCTATATATATATTGTACAAATGTTCCTATAAAGGTTACAAAATAAAATTAACGACATTGATATATTACATAATGTTTCAGCAACGTTTATAAATTGATTGATAAACTATGTGACGTTATATCACAATAAGACTGAGAATTAGTTTTACAAATAATTCTTTATTGGTCCTACGGGTTTCTGGTAAGAAGATCATAATGGCATCTTGTACGGACACGTTCTGATAAGTGCTATAAACACGGAGTAAAAATAGGGATTTTTAGCTTGAGAAAATAATATAGACACTATTTTTAGGCTTTTTTTTTCTTTTTTAGAATCTCTAGTTGTAGACTTGAAAATATGATCTTTGTATTTTGATTCAACTCATTTCTGTACTTTTTTGATGATCCCTATACCCCCTTCTTAAATTAACAATTTTTATTAAATTTGTTTACAGTATATGAATTATTATAATACATTATGATCGAAAGTTTGTATGCTATCACTTCACAAAAAGACAGATAACAGTTTTACACAAAAAATCTATAGTACGGGTTTTCACAATGTCACTGAACTTATAGATCGTGTTTCGACAGCAAAAGGCGTTATATTTGTTTGTTTGTTTTGAATTTCGCACAAAGCTACACGAGGGCTATCTGCGCTAGCCATCCCTAATTTAG